TGTGTGTGTCTGTTGGTTAAGTGGTGTGTAGCTAAAAACATTCTCACGACCTCTAGTACATGTCGTGACTTAAACATAAGAACATATTATGGCTAAGGCTACAGTTCTACACGTCATAATAATAATATTAAACACCCTGTCTGCTGACAGTCATCAACTCTTCTCTCTAGTTATCCTTGACCAGATGTACCCTGTAGAAACTCATAAGCATGACTAAGCATTTAACAGTCTAACTAGACATCCTATCTCCACTAAACATTTCTAATACATAAAGTATCTATCTGACTAAAAATACCTAACAGATTTCATTTTTAAATAACACACTGTGGCTATGCTTCTCCTACAGTAATAAGCTGAATATGTAAAACAGTGTAAAACAGTGTATTAAAAATGGCCACACCAGTATTCAAATGAAGAAAGTGCAGAGGTCAATATTACACAAAACCATCAGCAGCTACACTGATGAAAACCTTTCTGAGCAGTCAGACATGTCATGCAGAAGCTTATGTGCTGTAAAGCTAGTCTGTGTTCACTGCATCACAGTACCTTTTCAGTGCCGATTACCAACTTATGCTTGCTTCTGAAATGGTGGAAATATGGTCGTGTCTCAGCTCTGGCACACTGCAGTGTGGACGGTGGTAGACCCTAAATTTTGCGACAGTAGCGTGCGTCTATCATGTAACTCAATCCACCGTTACATCTACAGATTTAGCTGGACTTAACTGGCTGGACAGGGAAACCTGGAAATAGCTTCTGTGTGTGTGTGTGTGAGCTTGTATAAAATTAGTAACACAGCTCATCTCAGTATCAAAACAGTGATACTGTTGCAGTAGCAGATAGTTTGTGGCCATGTGCACAGACTGCTGTGACACGTCTCTCCTTTATTTAACCTTTTTAGTGTCTCACTAAACTATCAGAGAGAGACAGCTCGCCAAGATGGCATAAATAAGAACAATAATTAAAACAATACAAACAACAACTACAAGAAGGCTGTTTAAATCCAGGTAACCAATCCAGGTAAAGGAAAAGTTTGACATTTGGGAAATATGCTTATTCAGTCTTGAATTTCTTGCCATGAGTTAGATGAGGAGATAAGAACTTCTTTCATATCAGTCCTTAAAACATATTGCCCCTATAACATTCACAAGCAGTATTACAGCTTGTAGAAAAACCCTTCGATTTCTAACTGAATAGTTCATTGTACAGTAGAAACACACATCCAGACACAGACAGTAGCACAAAGCCATATTGTTTACTTTCCACCGTCACAGTGGAAGTAATATTCTTCCAGCAGTTCCTTCGTTTATTGTGACATACTGTGAAACAGTCAGTTATCATTTCCTCCTCTTTCTAATCAGGATTTTGTGTTCCTAAATAAAAAAGTGAAAATCTGGTTTAAAATCTGGTTTACATTTTATATAAGATGTTAACTGTTTGAGTGGCAGTAGAGGATGCTGTGCTCACCTGGTAACTTTCACTTGACCTCTGCTGCTGTTAGCGACTGTTTACATGTAAAAAATCTGACTACAGTTAACTGAACTGGATTGATTAGAATTAAGATTTTGTTACCTCTTTTGTTCCTACACATTTGGCGCAAGTTCTGTTTTTCTAACAAAATTGTATCTGCTTTGTATCACCGTATCTGCTTTAAGTTTTAAATGTAGTAATCTTCCTCTTGTGATATCAGTTCCCCATTCAAAACTGTCCCTGTGGCCCCGGTTCCTATTTCCCTTTTTTCTGCTGTGAAGCAGAAGCACAAACACACCGAGGGCTTTATAAGACGATCACTGCCACTTCAGTTTTTAGCAATAACGGCAGCAGACACTTCAGCACCATGAATCCTACGGTGGGTGACAAATCTCTTTATAACACTGAACAATGCTAAATATGAAATACATTTTAAATGGTATGACTGTGTATATTGGTTAATGCTCCTTGTTCAGAGAAAGACTGTTTATTTGTTCCTAAATGTCAGGGTTCCGAGGGTTATCCGGTTGATGGAAGCGTGCTGATCCGCCACCAGAACCATGAAGGAAAGCATCAGTATGAAGTGGAGAATGTGCTGGAGTACAAAACCACCAAAATGTTTGTCAGGTATATTGTTTAGTCAACTCTCTGTTGTTTCATTGACTAACACAGACTAATGTAACAAAACATTTTTTCAGTTTTTTTGCTTTTTGTAGAAAACAGTCTCAGAGGAAACCCCGGTTAATGTGTCATGCTACTTTCACTACAGAATGTAATATCCAGAATACAAAATGCTTTCCTGTGTGAGGTAAAATTAAATGCAAAAAAAGGTATAAACAATGTTAAGTCCCTAAAAATAAAACCTGTTAAATAAATAAAATTTAAATAAGAGGGCATAAAAAACTATTTCTGGCAGACAAAAAGGTGAGTCAATAAAAATGTTTAAATTCATATTTTAAAAGTCCAGTAGTAGAACAAATATTAACTGGAATATTGGTTTATTGCTTGAATAGTAAATAGTGATTTTATTTATGTTAATTAGACCTCAAAGACTGACAGGCAAACATTTTGTTAATGTATTAATAATTTTAGTCACTTATTATTCAAATACCCCAAATATTTGATGGTTTTAGATCTTTAAATTTGATTTCCTGGTTTTCTTTCTCAGATATGATAATCAGTTTGCATTTTGGACAGTAATCTTTGACATTTTTCAGACAAACACAGTTACTCAAGAAAATAATCTATATTAATAGTCACACATTAATAGTTACATGTAGGTGTCATTTAATCAGACTTAAAATTAATGAAAAGAGCACAGAAAAAACAGGTCTTGTGACAATCTACTATTTGACCCATTGGTACAACTTCAGCATCATGAGGTCTGCAGTATTAAAGATCACACAATAGTGAAAAAAAGGATTTTGGTCTTGATGTTCTGCCCAAATGCTTTCTTAACAATTACAGAGACAGAAATAAACAGACAAAGTGATGCTATTGATATTTCTGTGTCTTTTCTACTTACTTGTTTATCCATTTTTTTTACAGGAAAGGAGACAAGCTGATGCAGATAAATGGCACAGACCTGCAGGATCTTACACCCAAGGAGGTGGCACAAATATTAGCTAAGCCTAGTCCATGGCTGGTGAGTTTACTGGCTGAAACATCTACCATGCTAATCTGTCACACTGCTAGTTGATTCAGTTCATGTCAAACTGAATAAAAATGTTTGACTGTGGCACTGGCCCACAACGTGTCAGTCATTGCTCAGTCTGACTTTACAACCTATTGACCCTATTCTTCTGGACTCTTTAGACGGTGCGCAATGTGGAAAAGATAGAGGAGCACAAAGAGCAGCCCTCCCCAACTGAGACAACTTTACAACCTGTCTCCAAGGAATCCATAATGCTCAGTTTCAGCATGAAGATGAGGAGGGAGGAAGACCTGGTAGAGACTGAAGTGGAGCAGGAGGGATTAGGGGATTTTGATTGCCAAACTGAAGATGAGGAGAATGGGGAAGGAAAGGGTCTGTTCATCATTGCCATGAAGAAAACCAGCATCACTTTGGTGAAAAGCAGGGGTAGCAGCTCTGGGAGCCATGGGTCACGATACACCTTAAATGATGTTGTAATGGTGACAGAATCCAGCACAGTGACACTTGGTGAGTTCTAGTCTCCTATCTTGCCTTTCTTCTCTTCTCTTCTCTCTTTTGTTAATAATAGTAGTTATGTACTTAATTACTTAGTTTTGGTTTCACAATTTCAAATTTATTCTAGAATCTAATATATTTATAAAAACATATCAAACTTGGCCAGGAATAGAAAAGCTAAGTCCTGGACTTTATTTGCATTGTGGGTTTTACACAGTTCACTGACTTTTACCAAGAGGGAGATACAGTAGATATTCAATGTCTGACATAAAAAAGTAGCAAAAAAAGAAGGAATCAGCTTAACTGCTGTACTGCATGTACTTAAGTACTGTAATACACATGTTCGGTTACTTTCCACCAGTGTCAAAGAAATCATAATATAAAAGACAACCACTGTGAAACAAGTTTGAAATACAAATATCACCGAATTACAAAGCAGATAAAGAGGAATACTTGTTCAGCTTTTTCCAGACAGGAGGGCTCATCTTCTCCAGGATGTTGCTCATGTTAGTAGCACCAGAATACTGAAAGAGTTTACCTTACGGACTTACCCCACCTAGTAAAAGTAGGTCATTTTCATGTAAAATCCAGTTGTATAGAGTCAAGATCATTTCAAGAGAGATCCACATGTGTAAAATTAAAAACAAACAAGAAAACATAATACAATATAATAGCATAGTACTGCTATCCATTGACAACCATGGATCCCCAAATAAATAAACAATTGAAAAAGCCCATCAGATTATTTGAAGAGAAAAAGCATCATAATTATTTCTCAACAAAAGGAATATAAATGATGAATTATATGGCTTCTGACTGTTCCTTGTGGCACTTTCAGTACCAAGGGGCTCCACTTTCAAACAGCCAAGACCAGTAGAGGCCTCAGTCGAACATGTGGCTTCCCAACTATATCTCAGAGCTATTTGTTCTCAGAAGACTGTTTATCCTTCAACCAATCCAGGTTTGTCATTCAGAGCAGCACACTGCAGCATGGCATAAAATAGTGACCTGATTTTTTTTAAATTACAACCACCACAGTTGTAATTTTTTGTCAAATACTTTTTTCATTCATTTATTATCATGTGCAATTTACTGTTGACCTAAAAGAAAACATTTTTTTTGCTCTAATGGGGGAATTGATTAGATTTTTTTTTAAATGTCATAATACTTTTGTGTCCAGAGAGGATGACCATCTACCACTACAAGTCAAACAGTCTGAGCGGGTTGTTCAGAGGAATGCCAGTAGTCCTAAACTTTACTGAGTCCAACTGCTTCCTCAGGTGCTGCAAAGAAGGCGAGAATGTGCTGCTACGGGTGGAGGTAATAGTTACTGAGCAATTTCATGTATCTAGAGTTAATGAGCATTAACCTGTTTTTTAGTCAGAGGCTAACAACTATTAGGTATTGCTTGTACATTATACAGTACTGATCTTTAGCCATTTTTGCATTTACCAATCAGCACTAAACACAAAGTGTAGCTGAGACTGATTGTGTTTAGTTTGGCAGGTTTTTGCTCATAAAGTACTGGACAAATGACATTTATTGACTTGATAGTGATTAGTGAGCAGACACATTTATACAAAATTTCATGGCAGTCTGGTCTGAAAGTGGTGGACTGATCAAATGACCAACATACAATCCTGTCACTGTTTCAGAAAAGTGAGATTAAAGTGATGTTAAACAGATGCAAATTATTGATTAAGAAAAAGACAAGTTGATCACTGGGACTTGGATACTTACACAAAGTAATCCCCACTTTTGTTATTGTAGACATGTGAAATGCACAGGCTGAAGCAGATCTCCGAAGACGATGAGATCGCTCTCTCCTTCCTGTTCTACATGAAGTCTAACAGGTCAAAACAGATGAAGTTTGAGTCGGCACTGCACCGTGGCTGGTTCATCCAGATAACCAACACAGACGCACCAGTGGAAGTGGGCAACACGGAAAGGCAAGATCATTCATTTTTCTTCATCATTCAGACATGATGTAGTCATTTCCTCCATTTGCATATACAGTTCTCAGTCAGTTTAACATTTAAAATTTCCTTGTGAATTTTATTTGGGACTTGAAGATGATTTTAAACTAAAGAAAAACACAAGAGGAGCTCTTTTGTTTGAGCCACCTGGTCCAGTGTCAAAAAACAGTGTCATTGCAAATTTTGCTTTTGCAGAAATGCTTAGATATACAGTATATCGTACAGATATATCAATTTGAAAAACAGTTTGTGCGTGTGTGGTCCAGACTTTGATATGTGATGTCATTTTTGTTAATCAGCTTTGTTGTTTAAAGTGACCTCAAGCTCAAGCTATTTTTCACAAGAATGAACATCTTATTATTACTGATTATACAACAACATATTCAACTTTACTCTAATGACATGCTGTGATCTTGAGAAAAATGCCTTTGTACATGTATTTACATCTAAACTGTGTATTTTTTCCATTTTACACTAACAGTGTTTTGCCCCCGCACACTGTTAGCACCAAGTTCTTTGAAAATGAAACATTTCAGCAATAAACATGAAGCAAACATTTTCACTAAACTTAACATTGGTATTATGCTGCAAGTGAATCTACTAGGTGCACATCACACATCTTAATCTGACATTTAAAAAGCAAGTATCAAATAGTATTCATTTATGCAGAAATACTTGTCTGAACATCACAGAATATAAAATATTGGATAGCAAAAAGAACAAATTCAGTTTTTGGTTTGATCAGCTACCATTAATTTGAGTTGCTCAAGACTGAAAATCTCTGAACTTCCACATCATTACAGCAAGAAATAGGGCAGGACATTTTGAATTATACAAATGTAAGGTTCTGCAAACTACAAAGCAAAACTGCAAAAACACTGCACCCTCTGAACCATGTGGTATGGAAGATACATGGCAGAGAATAGAAAGGACCTGGCTCAGGGGGTATTCTTATTTATTACCTTTTTGTCTTCTTTAAACTTGTCTAACTTGATTTTGTTTTTTTTACTTTAATTTATTTTTATGTTTGGCAAGAGGTCATAGAGCACTGGTCAAGGAAGGAAAGAATTTTTTGCTTTTTGTTCTCGGACAGTGGTTATGATCCTACTACACATGAGCACTGACGACACCTTCCCTCTGTTCTTTGGTGAATCAGAATCCAGTTTGTTCATTATCACAGTTGTCAAAGGCTTTGTTAACTTGTCCATCAGCGTTTGTATCATATGGATTCTGCACAACTGTCTTGTTAGAATTTCTACAAACACACAAAGGAACACAACTCACAGTTATGCAAGTATTTGATCTATTATGTTAGAAACATTCATCTTAATTAAACCCACCTCTTGCGTTCTCTGACACCAGAGATGACGAGATAAATGCCCATTAGCGCTACAAGGCCCATGACCACCCCAAATACCACCAACCACACCTCCACTGGCTGCTCCATAGGAGGAGCTAGTGTTGCTGGAATACCCTCAAACTCCAGTGTCCTGTCATCCAGTTGGAAGGCATCATTGATTCGGCCTCGACATAACCTGGAATCAATATCAAAATGGGTTCATTACTGCTCACTTTCAAGATCATACAAAGATCATATCAATATTGCAGGAAGCAATTTCATTCAAATTCTTATGCTAGAAATTATAGGCTTAGAGTCTCAAGATATGCTAGCAGCTCTGTGAAGCTGCACTAGGGCACAACAGTGTTTTGGAGTGCTACATGCCAACATGTCCATGTGTCACATGTTCACAGTGACAATGCTAACACGATGGTGTTTAATGTTTTCTAGGACTGTCCTCCTGACAAAAAAGAGACTATATGTCATTTTTTGCCAGGAGGTTATTAAGACCAATAGTTATGTATTAACCTTTGGTTTATGACATGAGCAAAGTAAGAAATTAGGAAACATAGTAAGTGGCAACAGACAGTTTGTGTTAAGAGGAGTTTGGGGCAGATGACTTTGCACATAAATCACAAGACTCAGGAAAATGGGGTTCAATTCCAGTAATATTTTACTAGCGACACACAGACTGCAATTTTCTTTGTCTGGTTATGATTTGTTTTTAAAGACTGACCCGCTAATTCTGATTTTGGCTGTTTCTGATTTTCTGTCTCAGAACTGTAACTGACAGCATTCGCAGACATTTTTGTAACTTTTCTTTACTGAAAAATTAAATTTTAATGAAAATAAAACACTGTATTAAAGTTTTTTCCTGTCTTTCCCTGACTCTGTTTTTTTTAACATATCTCCAAGTAAAAGACTAAAATCATTTAATTCATTAGCTTGTAGCTTACCGTATGGCAGCCTTCACGTCAGCCTTTGGGATAAATATAGAGGGACTTGTGGGGTCGGTGACCATAATGTAGAAGGAGATTCTAGGACTCTCATCATAGCTGAGAACATTATCTGCTCTGCAGGTGCAAACAAAGAAATGCCCTCAAAACCATTGTGGTAACAAAAGATCATCAGAGGAACACAAAGTATAAAGCATCCAGTCCCAGGCTGATACTAACGTGAAGAAAAGGGTCTTGTTCTTGTGGCTGTAATACTGCCTCAAAGAGTAGGCAATGTTGGCCTTGAACAGGTACAGCTCGTTGGCATTCCAGGGATACTGAAACAAATTTTAGTTCATTAATATTTGCCACAATATCAAATAGATTGCTGTTGTAATCCCAATATAGTAAAAACATTTTTAATAATGATAAATAATACTCACAGCGTTATTGCCCATGGCAGCCTTCAAACTTAGCCTCACTTTAATGGCATACTCGGAATCTGTACATAAATCATTTATTCATTTTAATTCATGTAGTTGGATCATGAAAATATGTCTAATGATAACAACAGTGACTTAAGTCTTTTTTCTGACTTCCTTAAACTGTCCTCGGGGGTTTTATTTAATTTCAGTGGTCCTCAAAAATCACTATTTGCTGTTTTTACTCTTTGGATTTTGTGTGCATTAAACAAACAAAATGTTAAATAGTGAGTTTTGGAGGTGCTGGCACAGAGCCGTGCTAACTGCTGACCATTCATTTAGTGTACTCACATGAATCTATTGTTGTCTTCCAGTCTGCAGTCCTGTTGTGCTTCTTGTTCTCTGCAATCAACCAGTCATGAAGTTTTTGGAAGTAGTTCAACAGGGGCTTGGCATCCATCTTAACATCACCTGATATTGTATGCAAAGCCCTGGTCCAGGACTGGGATCTTCCCAGCTCTAACATATTCCTAGCAGAAAACATTGATGATGTTAGTGATAATAACATGTCATATAACGTACACACACAGTATATATATACAGCACCACAGTAGTATATTTCACATGGTGAGATGGCTTTTCAAATGGAAAGTGGTTAGGTCTATCACAGGGATGACTAAAACAAGTAAACAGTCTTCACAGAAGCATAAAATGTCATTCATACCTCAACTTTGTTCCTGCTGCTATTGAACCAGTAATGTCACAGGTGGACAGGGGCCCTAGATGACCAGCTGCATCACAGAGCACCTTCTGGAATTGAAACTGGTAAATGGTTCTTGTGAAGTACCTGTATTCAGAACCAGTGACAAACACAGAGATTGGTGGGGCCTTCTCTCTGATAGCAAAACTGGGACAGCAGTTTTTAACCTGGGTTTTCTATTCTTCCTCACCACTAAATCCCTCTCACAGCTTCACTACACAACTACTCCATCTTGTTTGCAAAGGTGTGTGATTCTTCAGTGGTCAGGCCTTAAATAAAAATAAAATAATCATGTCATTACATGGTGACTGAATATGTTTAAAAGAATACCCTTTGGTTGTCTTTTGGATTTTACAGGTAAACGATGGACATGCTTTTCTATGTCTACAGCAGCTTGCAAGATTTTACACATAGCTGAAAACGAGGAAGTCAACCATGTTTGTCACCTTAACAAAAGTGTATAGGTTTTTAATCAGCGTTTAGACATGAAACTGTATCAACATGTTAGTGAGGGTGGTCGTTCATGAGAAAGCAGCAAATGTTCAAACATGCACTGTTTGAGTTCTACACCAAAAACTTTGTTCTTTACACCTAAATGTAAGAACTGAAAACAAAACTTTGTTCTTTCCACCTAAATGTAAGAACTGAAAACAAAACTCTTGGCAAAGCTGATTTATAATAAATCCATAAGTGGCTGGGATTAGGTGTTAATTTGCTTCTACTTCCTGGAAGTGCAGCTTTACAGAAGGAGTGTTACCTGATGAAAGAATAGTCTCCAGATACATGGAACAGAGCAGGTGGGTCACAATAGGTCTCATCTCGTGGCACTGGCTCCACAACGCCTACCAGCTCCCTCCTGTTTTGACAACAGAGAGTCAACACTGATGCAGGCTGATGCCACAGACCTGCAGCAAAGAGGCCACTGAGGTTACATAACATGAAATACCTCAACATTTGTTCGCAGCATGCACTTTTGATGTGCATATTCAATTACGGTGACATTATAAGTCAACACAGTTATATTCAATTCACCTATGACTCTGCATGGATGGCATAACATATATCTGTGCTTACTTCATCTCCCACCAGCGCCGCATCCACTTATCTTTGGTGATGTTCCCTGCAAACACCTGCCACCTCCATTCCTCCAGCATGTAGGTGAACGGCAGTGTG